AAAGACAAAGCGAGAATGTGCTTCTTTCACTTCCTGAAGGTGTGTAAATAAATACTTTGCTAAGAGTTCAGGGTTATAGCAATTATAAGACGTATCATAAGTTCAAATTATCTTAAAATAATTATTCAAATACGTTCATTTTCTTTATTTCTATCCATGTTAATCATTATAGTTGTCTCTTTTCTTCCGTTGTATCAAGTATTTTCGATCGTGTGTTCTCTTGGTTTCTTTTCTTTATTGTCTTTCTTCTTTGATGTGACTACTCATGTACTTTCCCAATTGTATTGTCATTTATTTCGAATATCTAATTCTCTATCTAGCATTTGGTATAAATATTGGTTTTTTTGTGGAAGAATATCTCATTTACATTAGAAATAAACTTACATACATAATAACGTATTAAAAATCCAAAATCTGAAAGCACCCCTTCTACGAGAAAGAGCTGAGCGAGTCTGTAGACGAGCGTTACTTGTTCTTCTATATATAGAAGCAAGCCTTCAGAAAGTAAAATGAACAGCTAGTCGTTCTCAGCGAACTCCTTCGCGTCAATGCTTTCTTTAACCATTTGAAAGTTAGGTATGCTATTTTATTTTATTTCGTGTTTTTACAGTTTAAGAAAATTATCTGATATAATTTTTCCTTCAGAGAACGATTTTTCTTCATTTAATCATTTTATTTATCTAGAGAAACACGAATAGTTCTCGGAACTTGTGCGAACAAGTTCTCATTTTGAATCAATCGCTTTGCGCCAAGGTTTTTAACAATCGAATGAAAGTTAAGTATGAATTTTACATATCCAGAAAATCATTTCAAAGATTATTTATATATGAAAAGATCTTCTTTTTTTTATGATCGTCTTATTTATCTAGATAAACAAGCAGACCGTTAGAAAGTGTTATGAACAGAGACTCATTCGCAATTAATTGACCTATGTCAATGGCTTCATAGACTCACTTACAGTTACGTATCATTATCCATTTTATTTTCGTTTTTTACATATCCAGAGAATTATGTGATGTTTTTTTGTACATTAAAGGTTTTATTTTCATTTAATTATTTTATTTATTTAGATAAAGAACCGAACGTACGGAAACTAGTATGAATATGTGCTCATTCTCAATGGATTGCTTTACGTCAAAGATTTCTCCGATCCACTAAAAGTTA